CGATCCCAATACGAAGTTCGCGAACATCAGGGATATCCATCGGGCTCAAATCGAAGCGGGTGAAAAGGAGGTTATCACGGCTGAATCCAGCGACTCTGAATGCCCTAGTGAGGCTGGCAGCTGTATTGTAGTGGGTGTGGTTGAGGATCAATAGTTAATAGTAATGAGGAGGTTGGGTTGTGATCCCATCGTTTTTGTGGTGCCAGAAACAAGGGGGGTGCCAGGAAGTGGGTATGTTGACTTATTACGGTTGCCAAAAGGTCAGCGTGAGGTTCCTCTACACTATTGAGGCACGTTTCCTCGAGATCTGGGAGGGCGCCAGAGCAGTGATTGACATCGAATCAGCGTGATGATGCTCGAAAACGTTATGATCTGCCGCTGGCTTTCATCACATGTACCATGACCTTGTAGTCCGTGTAAATGAGACTACTGCCAGCGTCGCGCTCCCAAACAAATCCGTCCTGATCCAGCTGCTGAAAGTCATATCTCCAAAGCAATTTTGCAACAATGAGTCGGATGCTCTGCTGCGCCATCTCCCTGCCGATACATGCCCTACTTCCAATGAGGAAAGGACGATAAGCGGTCCTGTTGTCCCCCTTGAACTCGGTGTCTTCCGCACCATCGAGCCATCTCTCGGGGCGGAAGCTGGCGGGGTCTACGAAATACTCCGGCGACCTTTGGATTGTGTAAAGATCAGTGGAGACTATGGTACCGGCAGGGATGTGCACCCCATCTATGGTGCATGAAGGAGCAGTACGCTGTGCAGTTTTGCCGTTTGCGGGTGGAAGTAACCTCAGGGTCTCTCGGATACAGGCGTTCAGGAATGGCAGCCTGCCGAGCCGCGCTCCTGTGATTTCTTCGTCACTGGCAAAGGTCGAGCGGATCTCGAAGCAAACTCTGTTATACGCCTCAGGATAGCGCAAGATGTGGTAGAAAGTTGCGGACAGTGTCGTAGCTGTTGTCTGGTATCCGGCCAGGCTGTGATATATCTAAGCAAAAGTCGCATTGAGGAGATCGGTTTGTACGTACGTCAGTCCCATGGCATTACTGAAGAATGCATCCGCGTCGAGCGTCAGGTCCTGCTTCTCGCTGCCCATGATAGCGGTCAGGAAGTCTTCTCTTCCGTCTTGCCTTTCGGCACAGCTGTTCAAAATTCGTATTAGATCACGCAATGATGAAGTAGTTTGCAGAAATACTCACTCGCGCAACTTCGAAGACGGCACAAGCTTGGAGAGTTGCGACGGAAACGGCAATGCTGTGATGAGGCTTCTAGCAATCCCAAGTACTGGGGCAATCCCAGGCAGGGCGAGGAAAAAGCTCAAGGCTTCGACCATGGGCATCGTAGATTTACCAAGCTGCTTCAATGACTCGTAAGTAGCTAGGACACTCTGTTAGCATTATTTCTGCCGGCATATCCAAGGCACCGCTTTGAACTTACGGCGCTTTCCAGACATGAGAGGTTCGCCGAAAGCAAGATCACCAATGATTTCCCAGAACATCGTCTCCAACGTGTCAGCGATGTCCACGGTACCGCCGCTCTTGGCAAGTTCTTCGAATTCGGACATGGCCATGTCAATATGCAGCTTCTGGATAGGTTCTTGCCTTGCAAGCGCCTGAGGGGTGAAGGCTTGCTGGATCACCTTGTGCAATTTCCTGTGAAGTGCAGGGTCAGGTATGGTGATGAGGGTCGGAGCGTTCAATACGAGGTCCGAGAAGAGCGTCAAGAAGGTCCCATCCTTGGAAAAGCGACCATCCTCTTGTTTCGCGTAAATTGCTGTTTCCGCTTCAAGTGAAGCAAACGAGACTTCGTTGGGTCCGACTCGCACAACAGGTCCTGAAACAGACGAATAACGTCAGTCAAACAGCTTTGGTCGTTGATTCCGAGGGCCTTACCGTATTGTTGATGAAGAGATTGCAGTTCCGAGTTGAATCTCATGCGGTGCAGAGCCCTCATAATCCATAGCTGTTCTCGTCATTTAACCGTGACTCGCGCACATATCGAGAGAAGAGACTAACCGGAGAGAATTTGGCCAGAAATGGGCCAGGAATGCGGCGGAGAGGATGCAAGAAGCAGCCATAGATAACGACTGACACGAGAGCCAGCGCCAACTAGAAGAGAAAGAAGTGTCAGAACAGTGGCCATCTTGATCGCTTCCACAGAGTATGACATACGATAACCAATGCAAGACTCAATTGCTGTCTCAAACTCCAGGTCGATAATGGTGAAGTGAAGGCCATGGTGTAGATCCGTGATTGTCGTCAGTGCGGATGCAAGACTGGATGGAGCTGGGCTGAGATGGGACGTCAGTTCTTGAGATTGATTCCAAAACCCGTGCGTACGGTTGGTCTTTGCGAGCTCTCCTGTGCCTCGGCTCTGTAAATGCTAGCTAGTGTCATATCAAAAGCTGAAGGGGGGACTGGGGGTAAAGTTCGGGGACACAGATTCACGACGGAGCAAGATCAGAGGCTACCGAAGCAAGGCGGGCCTCTGAAATCCATTTCTTTCTTTCTATCACCCCCTCCCTTTACAGGATTTGAATCCTTTACCCGGGCTCTATACTAGCGCTTACGAGCATGGGTGTCTAAACATACGGAACTAGACAGGTTCAGACTTTCCCATGATTCTGCTCACGTCTAGAAAATGACAAAATCAGGGTCCACTACACAGAGTCACCGATCTCTATTGGCACGCGTCTTCGCGCTTCGAATATATTGGCCCCACCCCTGCCAGCCCTTATCACGTAAGCGCCTGGAGTCTGCATGTAAGTCTACGTAGCATCGAAGTCCCAGACCCATACCTCCACAACGAAGTCAACTACCCTGCATTGCGATGGTGATGGTGTCTCGTTATCGGCTAAGCCTACCGAGACCAAAACCACCCACATGCTAGGCCCAGAATGTGGGCTTATCGCAGCCTATTCGAGAAGAGCTGTTGACGCGGCAAACGACTATCAACGAAGTCCAGTAAGGTCAAAGGATAATGCAAGTATCTAAACTCGAAGGAAGAACAACGAGGTGGTTGACTCTGCTGCCCACATATATTCATTTTATCTTCAGAGACGGTTAGTTGAACTTTTGCAAAGCATTTTATCCTGCTATTGCCAGTTATGGGTCCCTTACCATACCAATCGAGACACGTACCGGCGGAGGAAGCTCGAGAGACGGGTTGCTTTACAACCCTTCCGATCCGAGTTCATCCACGGGACGACCTCGCTGATGCAGCCAGCCGGCGATTTGTCGGAGACTGGGCCAGGGAAATGGGAGATGGCCGAGAGAAGAAGACTTACTTCTCGTTTTCGCCTGTAGGCAATTGGTCTTCTCTCATTTACCCCGAAGCCATTCCCGAGCGTCTAGGAGTTTTGGCATATCTTTCGGATTTGGGCTTGATTCATGATGGTAAGTTTTACCTTCCAGATTCCTGTCCGCAGTATGTAATCTGACAAACTTTCAGACACTGGGGAGGGCCTCAGCATCGAGGAAGCCCAAGCCGAGCACGATGAGCTCCATGCTGCCTTGAACCCAGACGACAAGAGCAGTTTGGATCCTGACTCAAGGGCAACGAAGACCAAGAAGCTCGTTTCGCAGTGCATGCTTGAATGTATCAACCTCGATCGTGAGCTTGGGTTGAATATGCTCGCTGCCTTTCGTGATGTCTGGCTTGCTATCAGCGAGAAGAACAGCGACAAGGAGGCACAGACATTAGAAGAATATCTACAATACCGCAGTGACAACGGCGGTATGCTGTAAGCAAATCCTCTCCGAATCTCCGGTATCAATTCTAACCAGCTCCTAGAGTTTTCTGGCCCATGCTGCAATTCAGCTTAGGAATATCCCTCTCGGAAGCGGAGCATGAGCTCGTGCAGCCCATCATTGACGCGGCCACTGAAGGTCTTTTATTGGCGAATGACTACTTCAGCTGGGAGCGCGAACTGAGAGAACTCCAGTCTGGTCAATCCAAGAGGATTGTGAGCGCCGTGGAGCTGTTTGCCCGAACAATGGGACTTTCCGTTGAGGATGCCAAGGAGGCGGTCAAATCCAGGATCATCAAGTCAGAGAGTGATTTCTGTCAACGCCGCGATGATCTCTATACAGCTCGACCCAACATATCATTGAAGTTGAGAAGATGGATTGATTGCGCTGGCCTAGCGGTTTCAGGAAACCACTATTGGTGCTCTGCTTGTCCGAGACAAAACGCGTGGAAGAACGAAACACTTTCAAATGGCCAAAACGGCCATGGTCTTGATCAAATTCACAACGGAGACGGGTTCAAGACGGTGCCCATCGCTAATGAAACTGCTACCAAGCTTCAAAGCACCGACATCAAGATTCTCTCGAACGGTGACGGGGGCAACGCCACCATCAACGGAAATGGTGTCAAAACTGTTGTCAATGGCAACGGAGTCAAAAGAAAACTCTCAGAGTACGGAATGGCAAGTCCAGAACAAGAGCCAATTGTTCCGAAAAAGAGAAGCATGGACGTAGATGTTTCGTGTCAAAAACACGACATTCAAACGGTCTCCCAGTACCCCCATTACAAACCGTCCAACCTGGCCATGGATGCGCCGGCAGCCTACATCTCAGGAATGCCTTCCAAAGGTGTTCGCGGCACCCTGATTGATGCTCTCAACACCTGGCTACACGTGCCTTCAGCAGCGGTCAAGACAATCACGTCAGTTGTAAATTTGTTGCACAATGCATCACTCATTTTGGACGACCTGGAAGACAACTCTCCACTCAGGCGGGGGCTCCCATCAGCCCACGTCATCTTCGGGCAAGCCCAGTCCATCAACAGCGCAAACTTCATGTTCGTTAGGGCAGTACAGGAAGTAGCTCAGAGTCTCAGCCCAGCTGCACTGACAGCAGTTCTTGAAGAGCTTGAAGGCCTCTACCTCGGGCAAAGCTGGGACCTGTACTGGAAGTTCAACCTGGCATGCCCTACCGAGGCCGAATACGTCAACATGATTGACCACAAGACCGGCGGCATGTTCAGGATGTTGCTACGGGTCATGCAGGCCGAGAGCCCAGCTACGGAGACACCAGGCCTCGACTTCGAGCGGCTAACCCTGCTCTTCGGGCGCTTCTTCCAGATCCGGGACGACTACATGAACTTCGGAGACTACGCGGCCCAAAAGGGTCTCTGCGAGGACCTGGACGAGGGCAAGTTCTCGTACCCCATTGTCTACTGCCTCGCAAACCACCCGGAATATCGCGGGCATATCCTTGGCGTGTTCAGGCAGCGACCGACGGTAGCCACGACTACCGCTTCTCCGCTTTCCAAAGAGAGCAAGGCGCATCTGGTGAGCTGCCTACGCAAGTGTGGAGCGTTTGAGAAGACGCTCGACTGCTTGCGGGACGTTGAGCGGGAGCTGGAGTCGGAAATCGGCCAACTGGAGCGTTTGACAGGAGAAGCCAACCCCATGCTCCGCCTGTGCCTTGCAAAGCTAAGCACAAAGGGGATTGCCAAGTTGGGATAGACGAGTTGGATGGATCGAGGATTTGTGACGCATGCCGTGTAACGACCCCTCTATGGGTCATGTTCTTGTTGTCGAATGTTGATACAACGTTGATTTAGCGCTTACAGCATATATTTTTCGTTATCCTGTTGAGGAATACCATGTTATCTTTCGCTTCGGCCAGAAACATTTCGACGTCGCCGGTGAACGTCACAATGCTTCGCTTGCAAGATAAACCCGCAAATAGCTCTCGTAAATACACCACCGTCATTGGACCCATTTGCGCGGCGAAGGATACGCCAACTTCAGAATCCTCCAGGGGTCGGGCCGTTGAAGAAAGGACTACTGCACGTTAGATCCTAATGACACCCATCTGCATCGCATGGAAAGCAATGAGATCCTCGTACCCCTGCAGGGTTACACACGGGGCGGGCCCGACTCCCGCTCCACCTCCATACCTAGACACCCTGGCCTGATAGGGCGAGACCGGTCTTTGCAAGAGGATGCGACTAGGACTCATGGGACGAACACATGTGGCGAAGGGCGTGAAGCTTACATGCAGGTGAGCAATCGAGTCCGTTGTCTACAGGAGAGCATCATGCCCGGTCTTCGAATGCATCTGCTGGGATCTGGACCGGGCGGCTTTCGACCATGACCTCTTCCTGCCTACTTAAGCCTGAGAATCGTGGGCTGGAATAATGGGCAAGTAATCAGAAGCAGATTCTTCTGGGAAGAAGCAGGCAGCCAGATTCCGACATTACGCCCACATTACGCCCACATTACACCCAATATCATTGGCTCAACTGTCGTCATTCTCCGGTATTCAGACTTCTTGGTTCTACCGTGTCAGACCAAACGACAATGCGCCAATCATCGACCTTGACTTGGACCTGCGTCCTCCTTGCTCCCCTTGCAGCGAGTAAAAGCCTCATAGCAGACTCCAATTCATGCCAGAGTGCGGTACGTACAGCTACACCGTCAAGACAGTCAGTCACACTCCCCTAACATCGATAGTGCGTCTCGCTATCTAGTCAGCTATCCGTCGAGTCGGGGGGCGACTACATTGCAGAGTTCGAGCAGCAGCCTATCACTGGGTCGGGAGTCGACGTTGGATCTCTGTACTGGTCGCAGCAGCAACAGGCCGTCCGGCCGGCCTGCCTTGTCCACGCCCGTGGGGCCCAGGACGTCGCACTCGTGGTGCAGACATCGCGCTCCACGGGGTGCCCCTTTGCCGTCCGCGGGGGTGGCCACTCGGACATTCCCGGGTTCAGTAATAGTCATGGTGGGATCACCGTCAACATGGCCGGCTTAGGCAATATCGAAGTGGACGCGAGTGCCGGTGTAGCTCGAATCGGCGCAGGCGCAAAGTGGGGGGCAGTCTTCAAGGAGCTTGATAAGACGAATAAGACTGTTGTTGGGGGCCGACTGACTGGGGTTGGCGTTGGAGGATTACTTCTGGGCGGTGGGCTTAGCCACTTATCTGGACTCCATGGGTTGGCGTGCGACAACGTTCGCAACTACGAGGTAAGTCGGGACCGGGATCGCAATGCGAGAACCCACGTTTGCCACACGAGAAGCTGACGTGATACCAGATTGTCCTTGCCAATGGCAGCATCTTCGACGTCTCGCACTCCACCCACCCGGATCTCTATCGAGCGCTTCGCGGTGGTGGCAACAACTTTGGAGTCGTGACCCGTTTCGATCTAGATTTGTATGATCAAGGTCCCATGTGGGGTGGCCTGCACGTCTGGCCGTTGTTACCATCCGTGACATCGGCCATCACGT